TTAGATGAAGATGTTACTGTGCTTGACAGGAAGTGGAATTAGCTTCTCCATGAGCCCTGAATCTAAACCAGCTACTCTGGTCGAGGAGAAACAATCTAGTAACTGATGAGTGACACGGTCCTGAAATGGACACTGTATGAACCGTTTCTCTGATGAATAGGACTCAATCTAGTAATTATAAGTTAGTGAATGTTGGGGACAACATTTCTTTTCACAGGCGAGTGTAGAGGTCATGGAAATTGGTCACCCCTTTTTTTCATTGTTACTCTCCCCCTTCTGTAGTATTCTGGTCCAGACTATTTCACCCTTAATAGGGATAATGGATCGACCCATGTCACTGGGTTGCTACAGGTGCAGGAAGTTGGCAAGGTTTATTGTTCTCCATGCAATGATCCTACCAGCACATGCTACAATTTTCACATTAAGATAGAAAGCTTGCGGTAAACACCATGCAATATCTCTTTTTTTTAGTCTGTGTGGTTCTGATAAGAACCGGAGAGGCTCAACGTTTCGCACAGTGTGCTCTGTCCATCGTCAGGAGACTGAAGAGAAGCCGATAGGGAGTGGGGCTTATATGCTGGTTGGAGGTACTGGAGTGTGACGGATCCTGCTGTGTAGTCAGGTGGAACGGTGGATCCTCCTGGGTACTGATGCATGTCAGTTGGTCATGGGCTGTGGTGGGGGAAGGTTGCTTGGGTATAGGAGACCCTGGGCGGGGGGGAGTCTTAGGGTATAGAGGACCCATCAGACCTGGAGGTGAGGAGGGGCTGCCAGATATCGCTGATGGAGAAGCCGATGTCTTGAGGTATGGTGGGGTGCTTGGAGATATCTAAGGCTTCTCTAATGAATGCGTCTTGGGTACCACTGTTCAATGTTGGCGATGAGGTTGGCTTCTTCCCAGTTGATGGTGTGGTCTTTGGCGTGGGAATGCTTGATGATGGCTGACTTCTCATATTCCCCCTTTCTGCCATGGGCTCTGTGTTCTTTGATCCTGGTAGGGAGGTCCCTACCAGTCTCTCTGATGTACACTTTGCCACACTGGCAGGGGATCTTGTATACACCTGGTCGGCGGTGTGGATCTTGCCGGTCCTTGTGAGAAGTCAGCATTCCTTGGATCTTGAGGGGGGTTGTGTTGAACACCTTGGTGTTGTGCTTGCTCAGGATATGCTGGATGTGGTGGGAGGTACGTCTTAGGTAGGGGAGAGTGACCGAAATAGGGGCCTTATCTAGTTGGCTTTGGGTATAGGGGACCCGACGGCCAGGAGGGGGACTTGATCTTGGGTCTTGAGTTCTGATCTGCTAGGGCTGGTATCCATTGCGTTTGAGTGCCGTGGAGATGTGGTGGAGTTCCTTGTGTAGGTGTTCTTGGTCGCATATGTTGTAGGCTTGGCAGATGAGGGCTCTGTTGACCGATGATTTGATCTTGGGGTGGTGGAAGGAGGCGCTCTTGTTCCATGGTGAATTGGATGCTGCTGTGAAGCCCGTTGAGGTGGTCCAAGAAGAGTTGAAGCTTTTCTTGTCCATGCTCCCAGATGACGAAGGTGTCATCCACGTACCGGAGCCAGATCTTTGGGCGGTGGTCTGCTGTGGCGATGGCGGTCTGCTCGAACTCTTCCATGAATATGTCAGCTAGAACCGGGGATATAGGGGATCCCATGGATGTTCCAGCTGTTTGTTCATAGAATTTGTCCTGCCACTTGAAGCTGGCAGTTGGAAAACGTTGAGCCTCTCCGGTTCTTATCAGAACCACACAGACTCAAAAAAGAGATATTGCATGGTGTTTACCGCAAGCTTTCCATCTTAGTTGTCTGTCACCATGAATAGCTTGAAATCCCATCAATTTTCACATTATTAAAGTTTGTCTTTCTTCCTGCATTCCTGGCTGTACTTCCAGTATTTCTTACAGGTATGTAATCTCTTGTCTCTTTTATTAAAGTGAATGAATAGCAAGGGTTGTGTGTTATTTAGTAAATCTGGACAATAGTGAAGTCAGTATAGTAATTTCTAAGTATGAGAAATACATGAAAGTTGTCTAGATTGGAACACTTATTACTCTGCTGTGTGGAAGAAGTTCAACAAAGTTTAGAGTTCCCATGCTAAATTAGTACTCTAGGGGAACTCCACTGTACTGAAGTTGGATGTATTGTGATGTTCCAGACCTATATCTGTTGTATTTACAAATGTGAATTATTCTTTCTCTGAAGAGAGCTTTTCATGTATAAGGCTTTCTCCAGATCAGAAACTTTGAGACACTTGTGTGACTTTACTTGATTGCCAATGGGAGTAGAGTAGAACGTAGAGAAATGCAGTATTATTGAGATGATTCTCCAGGCTTTTATGACATGTTTTCTAGACTTTGGGAAACACTGTGTGTTCAGAAGTACATGTGCATAGGCTATGTATTCCCCTTCTATTTACAAGACTACTCTTAGCACAAAGGAATTTAGGACTCCAGAGGGACCAGCTAAGACCAGGCAGTGGCCTTGTGTGAGTCATGTTTCCCCATTTCAAGATGTATTTTGTTTCCCCAGCCCAGCTAATCCTCAAATGTTTATTGCCAGGGACAGTAGGGCTGTGTGATGATGCAGTGACATAGGTTTTTGAATGGAAGTGCACCTTTGTTGTATGGATATTGATTACTGTTATAGTCAGTCACAATGGCTGTGTGATGCTGAACCTTGACTCGCCTACATGTACCTGTATGTCAGTAGTGCTGATATCAGCAGTTGCAAGTATCAATATAGTGATTATTAATTTTTGGTTATTAACGACAAGATTGTGTGAAGGGTACATGTCGAAAGCCATCCAGTTGGTGGTTTCATACGCTATTAGAACTTTGCTGTTAATGTGGATGTGCTGTTCAGCCAAAAGACTCTTTTTTTTATTTTCTGTATGACACGTAGCCCAAGAGTTGTATTTTTCAAACTGTTTACTGTCTACATGTTAAAAGTAATTGAGAAACATTCATTGTTCTCCATGCAATGATCCTACCAGCACATGCTACAATTTTCACATTATTAAAATTTGTCTTCCTACATTCCTGACTGTACCTTATTTCTTACAGGATCAGGGACGTTTAATCATTTTAATTTAACTCCCTCAAGCACCATTCCTGGTTGCCACGTGAGTTTTACACTTGCACCTCCACAGGCAAAGGACTCCATAAAACATATGGGTGGAGTTGGTCGCAGGGACCAGTTGAGGTCTTATCATACATATGCCCACAAAAGTCAGTTTTGGTGGCAGGCAATCCTGTATTTCCTTATACATACCTACATGGAGTTATGGACAGCATATGTTCTTTGAAGGTCTACATCCAAAATACTCACTATTTTCTAGTCTTACATTTTATATCAAATAATTTGAATACTTTGTACATGTATATGTAGATGTAGCCTGTGTGAATGCATGGATTGCTCATGCAGTATTGCACCTCAATAGACCACGTTGTGTTTAATGTAGTTTGGCCAATAGGGCAAATACTGTTTCAGTTCAAGAAATACACGGTAGGACTCTGTCTTTTAATTTCTACTTTGAACTGAGACAGTGTTTGCCTGTGGGCCAGCTACATCAAACACAATGTGGTCTATTACGTGCGATGTATCACATGTACTGTGCGCTATATTCATGTACATGCACACTGCACATGCATTGTTCTGGCGATGACATCATCCAATCAGCCTGCGAGCACTAACGGCCAAAAGGGGTTTTTTGTGGGCAGGGAAACGCAGGATATTTTTATTCATTTTGCTGTCACAACGGGGGAAACATTAAATTTATCATGTTTTTGAAATGGTTACGTATTTATTGTCATTTTGAAATACATGTATTTCATGTGAACTAAATCTAATCTATTGTTGTAACCCTTTAAAAAATGGTGAAAACTGCATGTATCACTTTGTAAATACTGACATTGACCCTAATCCCGCCAGATGCAGCATACTGCAGTACATGTAAAAGTCTTATGCACTATAGCCATGTTCCCATTGGACTTTTTCTTCCGCAAGCATGCGGAAACTTACTGCCACATTCCTTTATGTCAATCTACTGTGCATTCCCATGTGGACTTTTTTAACTGTAACAGAATGTTTAATTGCTGTGTTGGGCCAAATAAGACCAGCTGATTACATTGCCTGCACTGTATAAATCATGGTGAAATTTGAAAGATCTGACAGAAACAAAGATAAAATCAGACGAATTCGGCCAAATCTGCCACAAAGACGACGAACTCGTACAGGAATAGCCCTGTACACAATGTGTGTATAGCTTTATCTGGGCACGCCTCACTGTGTGTGCGCGTCATGCTGCTGTACTGTATGCACAGAGCAGGAGGCTGGGAACCATACAACCATTTTCTCTGTGTAGGCAGTAGTGTGGTTCGTATGTTTAGCGTGGTTGTGGTCAATTTACATTTAATGGGAACTGTTCCCATTGGACTTTTTGCGCCCCTGCTAACTTACCGTGGCTGTAGGGAAATCTTCCGTGACCCTTTTCAACTTGTTAGTTTTACATAGCGATCGCAGTAAGTTGACAGGGATGTTAGTTTACCGTGTGTTCCCATTGGATTTAATTTTGTAATTGTACAGGAAATTCGCGGTAAGTTAACGAAAAAAAGTCCAATGGGAACACGCCTTTCGATGCACTAGGCAATGAACAGCAGCCAAACGTACTGTTCATGCTTAATAGACAATGGGAGCTGGTCTCATTGAACAATGTCACTGTTGGATCTTGTGGTGGCTGGCAACCACAGACTCCCAGGCTGTTTGGCCTTGGGAAGAGTTCACCTGTAGGATCTTGTTACACTGGGCAAGCAATTTGCTCTAACAAAAGATGCAGACTGATGTGTCTGGCAGGGTTTCTAGCCAAACAACCCTGAACAGTCTGGGTTATATATTGTGCTTGTTTGAATTATGAAAGTGACTTTGGAATCATTCATATTAATTGTCAGAAATGAGGCCTTTCTATTTCTCTAGTCCAGTTAACTTTTTCTTTATTGTTAGGGCACTTGTTGGCAAGTGGATAGAAGCAGAGATGGTAGTGGGATTGGAAGGAATGTGCTGTCCATCCAGGAGAAGTCTGTCCTCTGCAGTGACTGTAAGTTGTCTTTTCAAGTATTGAAGATGATATTGAGGCCATAAAATTGATGTCACAGACACATGCACAAAGTAAGGTCTATACAATATTGAAGATTTCAAATAGACACTCAAGCCAGTAGGGGTCAAAAGATGTTACCTGAACCAAAACACTTTCAGGTTTGACAACTTAATATAACCACCCATTGCCAGATGCATTTTTTTACTGTAATATGCGCTGCCGGGGTATTTTCTAATATGTTTGATTTTCAAAAGCTTCATAAAATCATATTTTTTTCCTGAATGCGTAAACCCCATAGAATGACTGTCTTGTGGTAAGTCTAGCCGGACATTCAACCTCCATTGAGTTTTGCAGGCATGCCGCCGCTCTGTAAAGAGCCCCCATTGTGTGGTGTTGCGTAATTCCTCTTTTGTTCCGAGAAATGGCCCAGTGCCTTGCTATACCATGGTGTTGCTACGCAGAGCGATTGAGGGTCAAAACTCCCCAGTGAAATATGCGGTGAGTGCATGGGAAGCCGTGCGCACATGCAGAGGGCAGTCTGGACAGTGGAATACATGTATGTGTGGGCCATGAAGGAAAAAAGAGTCATGCTATGAAAATTGGGGTAGTAAATGTGTGCTTTTTTGTTTTCTGTCATATATTTTCCCATCTACCAAATATTACATCCCCCCCAAACCACCCTTATGTTTTATCCCCCAACTTGTCCATTTTTCCTCCCACAGTGTAAGTTTTAGTGCAAAATGGATATTTCCCACCCCAAAACTTTATTTCCCCAATAATTTCATGTAAAACCATAGAAACCAATAAAACAAGTACTCAAAGAAATACGCAGAGACAAATATTTGCAGAGAACATCTTATTCTATTGTTATTTTTCTTCTTTTCATTTATTTTCTTAAGTTTTTTTATTCTCATTCTTCTTTGTTACGTTGAAATAGTGCAACTCATAAAACAAGTGAAATAAATTTCCAGTCTCTGCATTCTTTTGGTGATGAAATTAAAGCCAAAATTCATAAAAAGGCAAGAACTTCACTTTTACCTGTCAAAATATGACATGGCGTCACAGCTTTTGAATCAATTACCAGATACTTAGTTATTTTTGAGTTTGACCAAACTCCTCAAATCAGTACAAGGAATTTTGTTACTTTTTCATCTCCTAAAAACTGTACATTCAAGTTACTTTGTTTTTTTATCATTTTTTTCAGGGATGAAAATATGACCAAACTGCTAAAACTAGTTTGACGGATGAAAATAAAGCAGCTCCTAAATCCAGATTACTTTTTTTTTTGTCAGAAGGGCAGGTGGCACGTGTCGCTCCCGATGTGTGTCTTCTTTCACTGACTCTGGGAAGGGCAGAGGACACACCGCCAGTAGCGGAGGTCGCCGTAGCTGGTCATCTCCAAGGTGATGGGGAAGTGGCGCCCTACGAAGCGGGAGAGTGGTTAGTGAAGCATTGTGTTAGGGGTGGTACTCGGGCAAGGGCTCATTGAACAGAAGCTCACGGACAAGACTCAACCGGTAGTCGAGGAAGGAGAGGCGGTGACCAGCAGCCAGGTACATGGAGTACCAATTCACCAGCATCAAGTCGAGCAGGTAGAAGAAGAGCTTCTCGTACCATTTGAGGGACTTATGAGTAGCTCGATGATTTGCTGCAAGCTGGTCACTCTTGTCAACACCCCCATTAGGGCGTTGTACTCTGTGACGCGGGTCAGTGTCTGCATCCCCTCCCCCATGCTGTCTCACTTGCCGAAGCCACATGTCTGCTGTATGCATGGTGGAAAGCATACAGATGTTGCGCTTGTCTCTCCACACCATGGCCAGGAGAGAACCACTGACACCCAGGTCGGCCGACTGGAATGTTGTTTCACCCTGTTTGCAGGTTTTTTGGCATGCCTTTTCTGTTGGCCATGATGCAACACTATCTTAATGGTACAATGGTAATGGAAAGAGGAACAAAAGAACTGAACACTGCCTTAACCCTCCTACGCGGAAGTCACTCTTTGGGTCACTTGGTAAACACCTCAATGAAGCACAGCTGTGTCGTGTTGTGCTCTGAACAAACTTCATCTCAGTTGGAATGTAAGAGTACAGATTGTGCAGTCCAACAACTATGGTTCAGAGTACCCTGGGAATAATTGTGCTGTAAACAAACTGCAGTGCTCTTGTGTTGTTCTGTGCTGTCAACCTATTACCCTGATTTTGACCTCTCAAGACTTGCAATGTATCACTATCTACTGGGGTCCTACTTTTCTGCTGTCTGTTGGGACTTTGGCTAAATTTAATGAAACAGTGCATACTCGGCATTGGGATATATCATTGGCTAAGATGGGAGTTTCCTTTTGTTGTAAGAATTTTTGAATGGTAATTTTTT